CGATTTGCTTTTTTTCTTGTTTGTTTCGCGGATAAATTGAGACTCTTCTCTTTTTTTGGAAGGTTAACGAAATGTATTTGAATGAGAGATTCACTGACTCGAAATTTCTTCATGTCCAGAAAAGATTCTGTTGTCTCTTTTCTATTCCAGTTCAATTATGCGCAATACATAAGTAAGAAATGTGACAAGCAGTCAATTTCTCTGCATAATTTCGTCCGTTGCACAATATTTATTTTCACTTCCTTTTTTTTGCCGCAACTATTGGAGTATTCATTGGGTCACATCACAAAAATTCATTTTCTTAAAAACTTTTTCCCTTCAAATTTCGTCTGCGTGAAAAATACACTTGTAACAAGAGTACTTTTATGCAAACTTATGTTCTCTTCATGTGCGAATTTTTTCTTCGGTCTTGGAGTTGTACTTGTCAGCTATGGCCATCATCCGGATTCATATTTTTTCTGGATCTTAAATAAATATTTTGCGAAATGGTTCGCATTTTTCGAATATCCCATTGACTGGATTATAAAAAAAAGGGAAAGAAAAGAAAAAGCATAACATATACATCGGTTGACAAGCTAACTATTTTACTGTTTTCCTTAACATATTTGATTTATCAAATTCCACTCCTGCTATCTTCGTTGTCTTGATAAAGTCGAGTCATTTTAGGAATTAATTAGGAAAAATCGGCAACAGCCTAATCACGAAGAAGAGCAAGTGGAATGGTTTAGCCGCTGACGTCATAGGTTTCTCTCAAACGGAAGACTCATTTCGCCTTGGCCGAGTAGTAAGTATTTTGCAAACAGAGAAGATTCTATCACCGAGAAACATGTTGTATTGAAGCATTGCTATGAATTGGCTTGCAAATTTATTGCTCAGCAGAGAAAACTTTACATCCCTCTCGATAATGTCATTAATTCAGATATAAGTTGAATACGAAGAGAATCCTTACTCCATGTGAATACAACTTGGAATACAGCATTACATTTTCATTTAAATTCTAACAGCAGTTAACTTTGGGCGTATTATTTCACTAATATGAGTGACAATACTGCTTCTTGCACTGCTGAAAGCCAATCGACCTATTTCATTCAATGAGGAGAGAGAGAAAGAGACAGAGAGAGAGGAAAAAAGAAAGAGAAGAATAGAGGAAGATAGTAGTTATGCTGTAAAGTATGATATGAATATTCTCGTTTCTTGGCCTCGAAGTGTTTTGCGCTCACGCGCAGTCCTCCATATTGATCCTCCTGAAATTTAACATTTGAAGAATTTGCTGGAAAACATTCTTATCGCGTCCGTTTAAAGAGTTGTTCGTCAAGATTCACGGAGTATTTTATCTCTCCTCTCATGCATCATATACGTCAATTTATTCAATCTTGCATGAAAGACACATTTATTTGAATGTGGATAGCTTATTCTAAATTAATGAAATTGACTTTGTTGAAGTAAATGTCTCCATAAATCGTTACTCTTTAGATATCAATTACGCGAAAATTAGATTTGTTCTTGCATAAAATGAAAAGTGCCGAAGATTGATGCATAAATTTGATGTATAGTTTTTGGAATAAAATATTTTGAGCATTCCTTGTGACATTTAACAGCAAAGCAAACTGGCCTGGAGCAGCGAAGGAGCGTAAATAATTAAGTCGAAAATTTCGATTTACTTTTTATTTTCGTTTTTATTGCTTCACCACTTCTTTAAGGAGGTTTCATTTTCTATTCTGAAATGAAAGTCAGGGATGTAATAGCTGGTTAGAGACTGGAAATATTGTGAATTTTTATTGTTGTTAATGTGAACATTCGCCGTGATTTATTAACTTTATCGTGGCCTTATTGTTCCTCTGGTCAGTGAAATTGAAATTTGAAATTATTTGAAATGTAACTTTGTTCCTGTTTGGTTATAAACGGATGGCATGTCTGCTTGTAAAACATCAGTAAAGCAAAATTCTTATGCTTCAAACTAAGAGCAGTCTTCTACTTCGAAAAGTCATAGAAATGGAACTACAAATGGATAATTTGATAGGATGTGAAACTGACATAGATACGGAAGAGTACACGGTTTGTGATGTGGTGCGAAACGAGTGATTTTATGAAACCTGTCATTAAATTAGTAGATAGATTAAGTAGGTGGAATTCAAGAGATAAAATAGTATTGGTCCATTGGCGCCTCTTTGAATTCTCTTTAGTAATTTCACGATGTTAAAACACACTTCTGAAGTAATCTGACAGTTGTTGTCTCAGAGTAGTTGTTGTTGATGGTTGTATGACATTGTAAACAAGCTTCGCATTCTCCTACAATCTCTTCGTATTAATGTCGGAAATTCCCTAATTCTCACTGACAATAAACCCGAAAGAAAACAACTACACAAAATAGTTTTGTGGTACCAGCAAAATAGTTTGCATGATTACTCTACACTCTTATTCATCAATTGGAGGATTTTTTTGAGAATGCTGTTGTAACAAGGAAGATTTTCCTCTTCAAAATACCCACTTTTTAAAAATTGTTTTTGCACCACCAAAATAGTTACTTTATTCCTGTTGCTATATGAATAGCTGCCTGTGATCGTTTCATTGACCGCAACAATCTGCGAATGTCCAACTTGCAGAAGGGTATTGCATATTGCCGTTCGTTAACGCTAAATTAAAGATGTCTATAGTATACGTGCATTTTGTATTCGCGTATGAGAATTGTGAACTTGATAGATAAGTTATTATTATCATTCTAGATAAAGAGAAAAGGGAGAAATAAGTTGCGCTGAAGAGATGTGAAAAAGATCATGAATGAGATACAATCAGTTTCGGAAGCTGTAGGATCGATGAACAATGAAAACTTGGTGAGTTGCCTGTGTGGAGCAAATTGAATGGCGGACAATCTCAATTTCTACACAGCGGAAAAGCAGCACTTCAATGTAGTACCACCACCTCCATTAGAAATAGTTGAAAAAGAGAGACAACGTCGTTTTGGTATGTGCTTTAAAATGGGACTTTACTTCTTTACATTATAACTTTACAAAGTTTCCTAAGCTATCTTTTTATTGGATTTCAACATAGTACTCTGTCCTTTACCAAATCATAATTACAAGGAAGTTTAGTTCTGGATTCTAATAAGAAATTAAGTCTCCATCTATTGGCTCTAGATTATAATCAAGCAAACATTTGCAGAAGAAGGTTCTTCAGTTCATCACTTTGATGATTTGCCTCAGGTAACAGAAGATGCTGTGCGGGCGGCACTGCGAAATGAGGCAAGACGTCACAAATACTGGAAAGCTAGTGCTGTCACAAAAATGACAATCAACCGGATTGACAATAGTGCCTGCTTACACGTATGTTTATACTGTTCGTGTCGCTACACGCTTATTTATGCATTTAACCTAGCCTGATTTTGTGAATTATTTTAATAACGATTCATTTATAAGGGTAAGAAAATTTTGAATTATGAATTTACTACTTCAGTTCAGTAAAAGTAAAATCAGTGTTATTCCAAAGATCTTACTGCGTTGGTTCATTTTTCAATAGTGGTTAAGTACCTTCATTGCTTTGAGTATGCTGTAACGCCCCGAAGTATGCATCACAGAATATTAATACATGAAATAAGGTTTAACATTCCAAACTATGTCGTTCTTTCATCAAAATTTGGTGAACAACATTATTAAATATTCAGGAAAAATTATGATATTTTGCGTCATTGTGTTGCTGTTTTGTTTTCTTAGCTACTTTTTATTATGACTATTAATTTAGTACGAGTCGAAATTTCGCCGTTTTTGCCTTTATTGCCGAAATTTGTTCCCTTCATCTTAACGACTGTGAAAGTAAGCAGTGTTTCGCAGATAGCCGTTTTCAGTACGCCATGGAAAGCTTCACTGAAATGCGAAGTACGAGCAAAGCAGTTGAAGGTGTTACGCTTGGACAGTTTTTGCAGCAACAACAAAGTACTTCTGGCACTGCGAATATAGGTTTGAATCCATGGGACTATGCGATGGGCCCACCTGAAGATTTCGTCGAACAGGTTTATTTCCCCTCTTGCTTAGTAGCTATCCTTCCAGGTTTTTCGGTTTTTTGAAATTTTTTAGATAAACAGTAGTAGTATTTTGTTCAAACAGTAATATTTCAGGAGTATTTGTTCCAAACTAATTTAGTCCTTTCTCGGTTTGGCCCTTATTAGAATGAAATTTTTCTTTCTACATTATGAGTACAACCATAAGCATTGTTGCAGGTGAAAGTGTTGGAAATGCCAGGCACAAGCGAGCTGATGGCTTGTCATTCCTGTAATGCAGAGGGCTTGACACACTGTTTTCATTGTCGTGGCTATGGTACTGACAAATGCACCTGTTGTAGGTAATCTTGCATATTTCCTAAAATTTGTTGCAAGAAATATGGGTGACATTAAAATGACATATGTTGTAGATGCACTGCTCAAAAATACTGGAAGCTAGTCATTTTTAGATATATTCTGGAAGTAGTGCTAAGATTCATTTTCTTTTGCTGAATATTGTTAGGCAGCTTCCTACCATAAAAGAAGAAACTGCTTAGTAATATTCAGCAAAAGGACTTACTAATTCATCACAAGGCCTTACTGATATGTGATTGCATGCAAGATACGGTCACATCACTTCTAAAACCTGTAAACACTGATCATCAAAGCATACCACCAAATTTAACAGTGGATTAGGGTGTCCAGTTTTCAGACATATTGAAATTTTTTAACGATAGATTGCATACGTTATTTGTTAGTTCACCAGTTTCGTTCATCGTAATTGCAGAGGAACGGGTATGAAAGCAGGAGTTGCTCATCCAGCTATTTATACCCATCCGATGGTTGCTGCGTTTCCTCATGTTGGTTTTCAGTATTTGATTCTGCTAAAAATTAATATCAACTTCTTGCAATTTATTATTTCTTTTAAAGACCATAGATTTCGTCTTATTGTTATTGGGTGAAACAGCTGAATTGGAGTAGCAATATTACCAGTTGTAAGGACTCATGTACTTTCAGTCGGACTTGAGTCGGGGTTATCCAAGTTCAGGTACTGCCGTCGTACGGCCTCCATCAGGAGGTTTGGCATATGGCGTAGGCACACCAGTCCATTTTATGACCCGAGCTGGAGTTCCGCCGCCCGGTATAGGCCAGCACGACTTGTGTCACTTCTGTCAAGGTCGCGGCATTCGAGAATGTTCTCGTTGTAAAGGACATGGGAAGAAACCGTGCTCAGCATGCGGCGGAAGCGGCAGTATACGAACTTACATTAAGCTACGAGTGCAGTTGTAAGCTATTTTGGTGATATACTTTTCCTGTTCATAACCATTTTGCAAGCTTAAGCGGGTGACTAGATATATTCCACCAGAAGCGCGAAATCTGAGAATTTACTCAGTTTACAGTGCCGTTGAACACAGCGACTACTATAGTCCCTGCGATATACCCGAGAAAATGCTGTCAAAAGTTGGCGGGCAGGTGATTATGAGTGAATGTCAACCCTATGTATGTTTTCTGTTAAACTATATTTCTTAATATTATACTTCAGTTATACCAAATATGACCAAAAGATCGATGAAGTTCAGCAACATAAACCGTATTCACGATTTCGTATTTCGGGTCATGCGAGTAATATAAAGTATTAATGTTAAGTGGCTGAAAAACTCTACTAGTTTTTCAACATCTTCGAACTTGGTGAACTTGCAGTACGTTATACTGTTTCAGATCCTGCCTTTAAAAAAGTATCCCATACAGCAAATTAACGAAATAAGCCGGCAGATGTGTGCAGCACATTTGCAGAAGTGCATCGGTAGATGTCGCATTATAAAGGTAAATTATACAATGCATACATTATATGTAAATAAGCTGGTAGTCAAGGTTAAGCTACTGCAAAGCATCATTTAGTGTTGCAGCAGCTGCACGCCGGAGACACCGGCCTTCGAAAATGTTCAGGATGTCGCCAAGGAAAGAATGCTTAAACAGTTTATAGTTTGATTTGTTGCTACTTTAGTGATGGACATAGCTCATCAAGACGACGGCACAGATATTTCATGTTTTTTTACTGTTTCACATATTTGCCGTTACGACGACATGATATTGATGATACATTTTGTATATATAGAGTTAAACATTATATGTGATTAATTTCTTACTGTAAAGTAAAAATAACAGCAACGACATCTCTTGGAAGCGATCCCAGTGGCTAAAGTACACTATCAGCTTGGTTCGCGAGAGGGAACATTCTGGATATATGGAGTTGAACATTATTGCTACGTACCACATTACCCATCAAAATGTTCTCTGATATGAATCCTTTGCAGTGTTTTGACGATATCGACGTCCGTGTTCTAATTACCATTATTCGACATGGCTTTTCTAATAAAATGATATACGCTGAGGGACTGTTGACTCAACAAAGCATCGTAGAAACTTCTAACTAACCCTCCTTTACTTCAGAGCTGTAGAAAGACTGCTAGGTTTGAGATGCTATGTGATATATGATTACAAAGTTCATCAAAAACAAGAAACAATCATTTAGAATGACCGAATATCCAACACGTCAACAATGCAAAAAATCAATACCGACACAGTACAAATATTGTACTAGTGTAAACACATCAAAAACTAATTTAAAAGAAATTAAAGTGGTGAAAGTCTTATTATGAATCTGGCAGTTGAATCAAAATAACGCTTACCTATAAGCAGTATGGGTATCTAAATTAAGAAGGCAACAAAAGTTATCTTTCCGTAAAAAAGTAAAGAATAAAGACGAAAAAAGACTTAATGTCACAGTGTCACTTCTGTGAAGGTTCATACAGTCATCATATTTTTCATTTTCCCTTAGAAAAGAGATGCCTAAAGTGAAGTCCAGATTAGGTCAAACTACTTTAGGTCGAAACTTCGGTCAGATTTCTCAAGCATGGTGCAATTTGATGGTGGGAAATGAGCAACCAGTAGTTTTTTCTGTTATCTATTACAAGAGGTGAGGTGTAATACAAGCCCCATCCTTTCACCAATGCGAGATGTACTCCCAAATCAGAGATACTACGAGATATCAGGGAGAGGCAAGCAGGCTTAAATGGAACAACGAATAAGGTCACAGCACTGAGATATGTAAACAAGCCTTATAAATTAGCATCCGTCTCTTTTTTCTCAGGATTTTTTGAAATCAGAAAAATATTAGAAGTATGAAAAGAATCGAAAGGTGAGTATGCAGTCTTTCAATAACTTTATCAAATGAATAAGTTTATTCCTTCATGTGTCTATTCCTTCTATTCCTTCATGTGATCCCAGCGAATAAGAGATCAATATGCAGATGAGTTTGGTACCAAATACTTTTTCATTTTCGGATAAACGATACAGAATTCACAGAATACAGTCCAAGACAGCTGCTGAAACTTATTTTTCCACCCAAACATCTCATTTCTTAGACTGGTCTCTGTGTCTCTAATACAGCGAATGGAGGATTATGGAAAGAAAACTTTTTGCATTAGAGAAAAGAATGAGAAGGTGTTTCTTTCCTCAAGTGGAGTTAATTCTTTGCATAATTATTAACAACGGAACAAAGAAACTGAAAATATAGCTCCCTCCATAACCGGCAAATTTGCTCCATTCCCCGTCCCCTATCAATATTTATAGTCTACTCCCAATTTCGGGAACCAGAAACACGAAGCACTTAGCTATCAGGGATTCCTATTAAGCAAACTGAAACAGTCCCATATGTCGGTCCCAATTGATAACGGGTCACATCTAACCGACACTATAAAACATCCCAAGAGCAGGTTCATTTTCGAGTTGCAAACTTTCCGTGACTGCTGGATAGGCTTTGATGTTGTGGATTCCAAGTGTTTGTGGAGGGAACAATACTGGGACCTTTTCTCTGAGGGATGAAGATTCTGCATTTGGGCCGCTAAGTTTTCTTATAGCTAATCGATTGTTTGAAGCTGATCGTTTTTTTTTTAAAGAAATATTCAAGTACGGATGGGATGTTTAACGTTCTGCTGATTACTCATTTATTGTCGTGTGTTGCAAGAATCACAAAAGGTGGTGATGTTTTGAGACAGGATAATACAACAAACAGTGAGAGCAGTATGTCCTCACGCAGAAGTTAGTCGGTATTTCATCTCCATTTCCATTTCTTTTTGTTTACTTCTGGTTGTTGTCAGATTGTGAATTTTATGGAATGTGGAGGATCAAAAAGGAGACAGGGATTGTCAGATAGTCAGTTTCTAGACTCTGTTCAGGAAAACTATCTCTAGCTTTATGAGATTCATTGTTATGATGTGAAATATATGGTAAATGACCCAAAAATACAAAAATAGTTACAGAAATTTAAAATAAAACATCCACTAAATTTCTTTTGCCACTGCGCTGATCGATCGAATCGTTATGGTTGAAATAGACCAGTAGTTTACTTGGACTAGTGGTTTGTAAAATACATTTAGAGGGAATCGAGTAACTCTAACCTTCCCTTTTTTTCTGCAGTTATGACAACAAATATGATTTGTGAATATCCGAAGGATGCTTTCCAAGTGCTGATCAGTAGACAATGTCCCGCTACACATCCGTTCTGTGTCATCGATGTGCCATTCGATATATTGCTCAATCAGAAATATAGATGTGCCACAGGTTAGCAGCTATTTTGCATGACTAGTTATACCTTGTGTTTAAGATATAGATTCTAGCTGTTCATTGTATTAAGTAATATCAAAATTATGTATGATTCATTTATTATTGCCGTTTTGCTTATGTTCGCTTTAGCAGAGCGATGCTTGGAAGTTTGGTGTGTTAGTTACCTCTCATTAATTGATATGCATTTAAGCACCACGTCGAACAGACCTTGTGGTACATTTGATGAATTCATCACAATTGTTGGCACAAATAAACAGTGACGGTGAATTATATGGTGGTCATTCGAATTGTATGTTAACCGCCTTTTATTCACCAGACTGTGCATTTAGTATACGAATGGTGTCCTATCTGTATCAGCTGCCGCGCATGTATCCTCGACTGCGTATTGTCGCAACTGATGCAAGAGACCATAGCAAGTAATATTTTCGTCGAAAATCCAAAGTTTGCGCCATATATGAGAAGTAGACAGTTTGTTCGATTGTAGTTTTATTTAATATTTCTGTCAGCAATTCCAGATTGAATAGTCGGTATGGTATCATTGGGACACCTACCATATTACTATGGGTCGATGGCAGTGTAGTTTCCCGTATGGATGAAGCACCCTTCTCATTGAATGCGTTCAGAAATTATATAGAAAAATGGACCGACCTTGAGTTGGAATATATACCAGCAATGGAAAATGACGGTGGTTTGATTGAAAACATACGTAAGTTTTCCATGGTTTTTAATTATCGTCAAATTTCATTGAAAAGTACACACAATATAGATACAATTATTCCGCATAAGAAATATCCGTAATTATAATATTATAAACTTCCTTTGTTTTCGAAATTTTTTTTATCGCTTTTGAAACACAGTTTCAGAATTTCACAAGTCAAGTTTCGATTGGTATCTTTGTGTGTCGTGGTGTTCTTTTGTGCTAAGTACTGCTTATTTCTTCATGAATTCAAAATACGGGCTAGCTTTCTTGGGAACACTTCGGACAAATTACATTCAAGTAAATGAGGTTCAACGATAATTTATTATGCTGATAACTAACTGTATATTTTACGTGTTTTTGAATCAGCCCATGCTGTCACCATTGCATTGTTTTCAATCATTGTATTGTAGGTTAATAATGTTCAGACGATATGATTACTTCCAATGACTTTATGACAGAAATGTTTTTCAAAAATTACAATGAAACAAATGATTTCATGGAATTCGTTTTTCCACTGAAAGCTATTTTTTTCCTCTGTCGGTGAATGAGAGACGTAAGAATTTCAATTTATTAGCCTAATATTCTTTGCAAGCTTCCTTTTGTGCCAAAAAACTCGGCAACTGAATATCGTTCGATGTCACATATTATTTTGAGGACAGCTTCATCTTACTGAATACCAGTGGATAATCCAATGGGTCCCTGGAAAATGAACTGTTTGAACTCAAAAATAGTTTTTCATGGAGCGGACAATTTATTAGGGAGAGTCTTCCCTCAGTTTCAATTTCTTGGAAAAATTTCAACTCTTGTTTTTTTTTTTTCTACGATAAATTTAGAGGGATTTAAAAAAATGCTGTTACTTTTGTTGCCGGCTTTGTAGTCTGGTTGTATATGTCACTTTCCAGAGCTTTCTCTCCATTGTCTTCATTTTGGTGATACCAGCAACGAAGTCGAGAAGAGTGAAAATTCCACGGTAGGAAGTGGTTGGGGTTAACTGTATAGCGATATGGTGTTCAACCGCGGGCACTACCTGTAATTATCATGAATTACTGAAACTTACTTGATCTGAGGACATAATTTAATCGTCTTGCATATCAGTGCTGGACATATATATTTGAGAAAAATCAGAAAAATCATAGAAGTTATACTTGCATTGAACAAATAAGTGTGCTGGTACGCAATCCTTGCATACTTATATAAAGCTTTCGATATGCCCCAGTATTTTCATAAGTTTGTTGCAGTTCAGATCTATTTTAAGGTAAGGAACATAGGAACTGGCCAATACAATGATATGTAGGGCAAGCAATCACCAAGAGTTCGCTTTAGTATTTTAGATATGCGAAAGAAATACACCATGATTTCGAAACTTTCGCCCATCAGATCTTGAATAAGCAATAGGGTAAGTGAAGTCTTGCACTTTATCTATTTTAACAATATAAAGGATGATAAGTATTGGTGATACACAGTTATGCGTAACTATCCGAACAGATAGTATACATGATGGTTTGTAATTTGGAAGTACCGGATTTGCTACCATTATGGCTCATAGCTATATTTCACTAATATGAAAGCATCGCAGTGGAAAAGCAGCTGACGTGGTGGTACTAGTAAGATGATATAACTCTTAAAAAAATGAAGGCAAACCTTATTAAAGTTATCTAACAGATGTTTGCCACCATTAACGAGCAGAGAGCCACAATAAAATGGAAGTTTCAAGAACGTTCGGTAGTTCAGATTTCACCATGGTGTTTCTACAATTTTCAAGTACAGATATCGTGTTATTCATCGTTCATTATAAAGCAGAAGTGATCTTGGAGCATTCGTCGTCGTCATCGTAATAACCTGCAAATGGAAAGTTAACGACTTGTAGCAGTTTCCTTTTTTTTTTCCTATTAATGATTTCTTCACTTAGTATTCCAGCCATGTATACATATATATGCACTACAGGTTATTGGGATAGAGAGTTTGAGTAGTATTTTTTTACGATTCGGTACCATCACAACCGAATTCTTTTGGTCGTGATGATACCGAATCGTACAAATACCATGAGGGTAGGACAAAATGAAAATCTAGCATAATTCAGCATCAAATAATTATATTTATGTTTGAATGCTTGATTTTCGTATATCGCTGTAGTGTTAAGGATAGTTCAAACAGTATTTACTTTCAGAAGTTGTTACGCACCTTAAACTTACTTTTAAATCAAATATTTCGTTAAAGGTTCGTAGTTTCGAATACTAATCGGGTTAAATTTGAATTTTGCAGCAGTATTTTAACGAAGATCATCAGATGAATTCGACTACGACAGGCTGAAAGTCCTCGAGAATACCACGATGGTCCCGACTAATAAATTATTAACAAAAATCCTTTCTTTGAAATTGTACCGTCAATTTCGTAAAAATATATTACACTAATTCACCATAACAGGTAATTTGAATTCTAGTACGTTGCTTTCTCAGCAAAAAATAACCTTCCTTCAACGAAATTTACTTAGTATTCTCACCTTTATTGGAATATGCTTTAAAATGTTTGAAAATGCGGCAACGAAGATTTGCAATTTAATTTAAAATGAAAAATCTGAAAATAACCGAACATATGCTCTCGTAGGATGCTATTAAATGATAAAATAGAACAATAACTTGAAAGAATCAAAATTAATGTTGGTAAAATTCTTTCATCCGATGAATCTACGAAGGTGAGTAAAACTCAAGTCATCCAAATTTATATTAAGAAAGACAATAATACCTCAAAACTAAACTAATAACAGAAAAACAAAAGTTGTAAAACAGCGTAATTTTATAAAAACTTTTAATCCCAAACCAGTAAAACAGCTATAACTTCACTCGTTGTTTTACAACTTTTGCTTTCCTTCGACTGGAAATATGATAGTATGAGAGTAAAGCATCATATGATAATTTATTACAAGAATCTACTTTTTTTCACAATAGTTTCACTCACACCTTGCATTGTAAGGGATTTAATTTATAACTGAACTAAACGATTTCAACCATTAATTACAGTTTCGTTTTATGCTTCTTTTCTATAGTCACTTTTTTATATGTTTCCATTTAAAAGAAAAAAAAAGATATATGACAAAAAAAAAACTTAGAATGGAAACATATAAAAAACCTTATATGTTACCATTTTCAGATTTCAGTTAAAATCAAGCATTATAAAATTTACAAGTCTTTTAAAATGAAACACATCATCTTTTAGGCATGTCATCTAAAAGTTTTCCATTCAAATTAATATTACCACAGCAAACAATGACCGAATATTCTGAGCTACAAGTGTTTTTTATCGGGAAACGGTTAATTCAAAACCAAATAATTTCATGAATGTAAGATAGGTTACCTTTAACCTTTAGGGAAAGCAAAAAACTGGCTACAGATAAATTAGAAGTGATAGAAAATAGTTAAAGAATACGGCGATAATGCATCATTTTTTCCCTCAAGAATATGAATAATGATAATTATTTTAAAGATGACAGGAAAAAGGGCCGCAGTTATGCTGCTGAGGACTAAATGAAACTTGTTCAAAATCTGACTAAACTTCAAAATTGTTTTTAGAATGAGATTTTCAGTGAAACTGATCATGATGATAAATGTTAGTGATAATAAAATGACCTAAATGACTGCAATGATTGATGCTTGAATGACGAGTAATGGAATCTATCGCGAAGATGTCTGAAAATAAATTATTTCGATTTCACAGAATAGGGAAAAGCAATACCGGAAGGATTTCATTTCATTTTTAGCTGTGTAACTCGAATAACTAAAGAAGAATTTGAAATGAAAAAGAAAAGACTAATATCATTATTAAGCATCAGATGAATTTCTATTATCTTTTCACATGCATGAATACAATTATTGTATTGAAGTAGCCGGCTCAAATAAAAGTGGTTGAATAGAATAATTTCATATATTCTTCCTCACGACAGTAATTAAAGTCTGAGTTTGTTACTTAAGTTGTACCGTCTCATTAAATTATCATTTCCTAGAATTCTAGTTCTAAGCCTTATTTCATTAGGCATTTTCAGTAGGGTTGTGGAGCAGAAAACTATTTACTAAAAAATTCCATCTTTCCTCATTTATAATCGGCATTCACTGACAACTGGGGCAAACGAACATCGCCAAAATTATTTCGAGGATGGCAACCAGATGATTTGTATTTGCTTTATTTTCCTGAAATTATACTAAAACAAAAAAAAAAGAAAAATTAAGACCTGGAAAGGTTTGCTTCATTTGAAGATTTTTATTCCGAAATTGAACAACAAGTACTTTTGGATAAAGGACCACGACTGATCAATAAATCAGATAAAACATATCGTCAAGTGTTTCTGCAAAATTTTGTTTTTAAAATTTCCACTTGCTTATTAATCCTTCATTTTTAAAATTTCATTTATATTTCAATTTGTTTTTGGTCAAACAATGCTGATTTCATGTGCTTAATTTTTAATGATGGATTTCCAGAAAGGATTACTGACTGATTCTGTTCCTTATTGGTAATTCTGCTTTACAGTAATTAAAACTAAAGAAAAAGTAGCTTTACTAGGGAGTCCTTTGAAAAGAGGAATCCCATGTCACTAGGATCCTGATAAGTCGGTGGTTGATCAGTGTCGATCGAATACTCACCAAGGACTATTGAATATAGTTCTGATATAGGTAAGGCACGACAAGCTTAAGGATGAAACAAAATCAATATATTCCATCCTATCCTTAGATTTTAATCAATAATCAGGAATGAATTTAAAGTGCTCAGATTTTCGGAAAGGAAAAATCGCGAATAATTTTAGAATGGTTAGCGGGGTATGTAGTTCAGATATCATCGCCGAAATTGCCAGGGAACTGAAGCAAATCTATAAAAGACAAAGTGAATTAATAAATTTGATTGATAGATGTAGTATTGTAGAGTGTCCTATATTTGCTAAAGAAGGGTAGACGGAAATCTTGATTTTTCCATGTCAAGTTTATTCGCAGTATCATTTCATGTTATAACTGTGGGACATATCCCATCGTTACGGAATTTTCAATATCAACTGGTGTTTTCCTGAACCTTTTCAATTCAGAAATAACTTTTTTCAGGTGAAAATGAAGAATGATAGCACGAAATTTAGCCTCTTATTCACTTTTTACTACAGCTATTAGACTGATAGTTTAAAAAAGGAGTTCAACAGTCAGGAATCGTATCTCTTTTTATGAGTCATGGATAAAAAGATCGAGGTCTGTGTATATTAACTGACAAATAATCAAATAACTCTTTTGGCTCTTACGATTGTGGCATCAAGAACTTTCTTCGGTTGGAACAAGCCACGCAAGGTGCTTCATCACGATCATCACGTGCATCTGTATCAATTCCATTCAAATAATTGCTCGGACGGTCTAGGCAGTTTGTCTGATTAGGCTTTAAACAATAAAGGCATGCACACGTAACGGAATAGCAACTTTATGTCAAATAAAACTAATAAAAAAAGTAGGTTCTAACAATAAACCACTATATAACCGTGTCGTAAGTCTCTCAACAATTTTAGAAAAACAAAGAATTTTTAGTGCCCTGAAATTACCATGATAGGTCAGTGAAATGAGAAATAAACTCGCACACTACCATACTTTCACAAAGACTTGGTGGTAGCAAGAAAAAGCGATGCTCAATTTCGAGTAATGAAAGATTATATTTTATTTTCCATAATTAAAAATCAACATTAAAATAGCAAGACAACTTAATTTCTAACATATCAAAAATTTCAACATTTGCACATTACTACAATAAGAAAATAGGAAGTGATATTAAATTGCCCGAACTAGAGAAAAAAAAAACTACTGTCAGTTGCTGTATTTAATAATATTGCGAAAAGAAAAAAAATACAGCATAAAAAGTCCATTTCGATTGACTAAGCAATGGAAGAATGACGACTATCGACAAATCTTCATTCAAAAATACTTCGTATAACACCAAAACTCCATTTCATTTGATTAGGCAATGGAAGAATGGTACTGTCGAAATATAAATTTTTGAAAAGAATACTTTTCTTTCTCAATGAGAATAAAAGATTATTTTTCTTGATTACATTGATCGTTCCGAAAGAAGTAAAATATTACATGGAAAAACCAACGAATTCAGTGGAATTCTTTTTACTGAAGACCGAAAATGCATTTCTGCCAAACACTAGCTTTTTAAAAACATGGTGACCAAACCAAAATATTAGGACCAAACAACCAAATAAACAATATTAGGATCCTCAAATGTATCTGGTTTTTCACAAATACATACAGTTATCAGATAAAAGAGAAGTAATTCGCAAAACAAGCAGTTACCTGCATACTTTCACTAAGAAACTAAAAAATACCAAGTTGTTTCTTGGATAATGGTAACGGTATCCAAAATTTAATTTCTTCACAAATAACAAGGCTCATACGGATCCTGTAATGTTGGATGCATCAAAAATCAAAGCAAACGCAATGTCGCCTTATGAAAATATCCACAAATTGCTACATCATTTCTAGCGACACTGTATATATAATTACTTCTTCAACGTTCAATGTTTGGAACCCATTTGTAAGTGCCTGAGAACACGAAGCCATGCTTTATCATCATTTCATCTGCCTCTGTTGGTCCACGACTGAAATTTAAACATTTTAAATAAAATTGCAAGATCAGCGTAATGAAGAAACACTTCATGAAATAAAAATTTTCCAGTTTTTTGAATGTTATTTTTACTGATACTACGAAAATGCATGTCAAGAGTATAAAGAGTACAGAGTACAGAGTACTCTGTACAAAGAGAGAGTTAAGAGTACAGAGTACAAGAAGACAGAAGAGTATATAAAAGAAGTATGTCTTGAACAAAACCTAGCTCAGCTTATGAAGCATGAAGTGAGCTCGAAGTGGACAAGTACACTGGAGAAGATAAAACTTCGACTAATCTGTGAAGTAATTGTTCATCAAGGCTTACGAAGTGATTAAAAAAATCTACCTCCCAAAAACGTATTTTGCAGGTTCCGTCCTTTCGTTTTCAATCTGTTTTAACAAAGGCGTAAATATTCGCCATGACTGTTCCAATTCATCAGTCCGAACAAAATCTATCTGAGAACCCATGATTACCTCCAGAAAAAGTCGTTCATAGGCATCAGGAAGACGAACATCCTGAAAACAAAGACTAAACCAATATTCCAATAGTGTTCATATCAGATCATTTCGTCTTTTCCAGTATATCTGTTACACATATAATATGAGGGCTAAAATCAAAGATAACAAAACAAGATATAAAATAAATGGAAAAAAGGAAGTAGTTACTTTGTATCGATATCCGTAGGTAAGATCAAGTTCAGTTTCTTCAACTGAAAAACCCATGCCAGGCTTCTTTGACATTAATTTGATATAGACTGCCTCATTTGGTTGCACTCTTATAACCAATTCTGTTCTTTTCAGTTGCCCTTCGGGGTAAATATTCCCCGAAACTTCCTTAAATTGTATTCGTACCTCTGCTTTACTTTCATTGAGCGCTGGAAACTAGTTAAAATTTCAAGAAATAAAATTCAATTATCACGACTTACACAACTTTCACCATTTTGGTTGTGGTTCTTCTGAACTCTTACCTTTCTTCATCGATAAAAACTTTCAACATTTTGAGACGTATGTCAACAGCAAATTGATATATGACGTGAAAATTAGCACCTCGAGCTACAGCACTCTTCAAGATTCGGAGTCGACAACGCTGACAGGAACATAGCTGTCACAAACAGTAAATTCATCGCTTTCACCTAAATCTTATCAATGACCGAAAAGATCTTAACCTTTTCCACACCTCAGAATGAAAGGAACACCATCCCAACGTTCATTATTTACTTTTAAGACTGCCAATGCATACGTTGGTGTCACTGAATCCTGAGGGACATCTTTATCATCGCGATAGCCATAACATGCTTCGCCATCTGCAAGTATAAAATACTTATTTTATGCTCACATTGAAAAAGATGTTCTCTAATTAAATGAAGCAATTACTTGTTGCTTTTGGATCACCAACGTATTGCCCAAGAACCACATCTTCCATTTTTACGGGCTTGATACACTTCATAACTTTGACCTAAAAGAATGTCAGAAGTCTGATAAAACCTAATGACAGTTCTAAATATGTAAAAAAAAGAAAACTTACAAAAATAAATCTGCAAAATAATATAGAGTAATCTCAAAAAACTTTCAGTACTTCTCGAGGAAAAAGGTGTCGTTTTTACATCACCTTTTTGTCTTCGTTCATTTAATCGAAAAGATGTCCCATAATCGGAATGGATTCTGTTAAGGTGTTTTATTATTTTGCTTTAAACGCATACAACAGAGTAATTAAGAAAAATGCTGGAAAGCATGACGACCTAATCTTACTGCATGGCCATCAGATTTCAGCAACATTCCTTTCACACTGTCATTCACAATATATCTCCACAAGATCTAATGAAAAGAAGGTAGCATCGCGCCTCCACAGGATTCTGAGCAACGTGATTGCACAATTCAGCGCATCTCACAAATTCTACCTTTTAGAAACACAGGGTTGAATTACACCAACAACTACAATACAATATTCAACTATTGTAGCTGAATGTCTGAAAACTGAGATCATCCAGATAAAGCACAGTAACAACAAGAGCATGCAAAAACATTACTTTTTCATCACGAATATCCTCAGCATCCAGACTGGCAGGTTTCTCCATAGCAACCAGTGTCAGAATTTGCATAAGATGATTTTGCATTACATCACTGAAACAACAAGCAAGCAATTGTAAAATCTTATATTTCTAAAAAGATAATAAATCTAATAAAACACAGACGAAATGCTCTTATACGCACATTTGATTTCAATTAAAAACTCACCGTATGATACCATTTGTGTCAAAATATCCTGCACGGCCTTGCGTTCCAAAATTTTCTTTGAATGAGATCACAACAGCGGCTATATTGTCACGATTCCACGAAGGATTAAAGATCCTATTCCCAAACCTAAAGTTCAATTAGTCTTAGTGGTGACAATAACCAACCAAATGAAGATGGTATGGGATTTCAAATAATGGATTTCATACGTGGTCGAATTCGATATCTCTGATTTCACAAAACATGGTAAAAACGTGAACACAACACGTCTTTCACATCCAACAGAAGTTTATCTCTCTCAATTCCTTTATATGTACTGCTATATCATGCCGACAGTAAAAAAAATAGGAGAAAACGCTTGATAATTAACCTAAGAATCATAAGATTTTGAACCATTTCTTTGCCCAGATAATGATCTATACGATAGATTTGGTCTTCCCGGAATAAACGTTCGAGATGCGAAGATAATTTTGCGGAAGATTCTGAATCGAAACCAAAAGGTTTTTCAATAATGATACGTGTCCAAGAACGACTGAAAAAAGTCATTAAGGACCTCTGAACAAAAAAAATAATAAAAAACTGACTGCAAATATTAAAATAGGGAGTCATACAAAGAATAAAATAAAAGAAACAATATGTCATTTAGTTTATTCCAGAAGAAAGTTGAGTTTTAGAGATACCTTGGAATCAGATAAGCTCTAAATCGAAATAGGAGAGAAGCAACATATTATTTCCATTTCCCTAAGTATTTCAGAAGACGAAGTCATAAAAAAGAACAGTTTTTTTTTCGAAAAAATACAAATAATGTTACTATCGGTCAAGACAAGACAGAAGTGGGAAATCACGTCTGCAAAATCAGGTTGGATTTAATTTTGAAGTATGAACCAAAAAACATATAGCAACTCACCCATCGTCCACACAGTTCTCACTTATCTGAAGTGTGACATCTTCAAAAACTTCAGGAGGCAAGGCGAGATAATACAATCTGTTTACTGGTGCTGCAATTTATACTTCATAAAAAAAAAAACCAAATTACGAGTGAAATGGATTTGGAACTTTGAACTTCTGTCGACTATAATAGAAATGAAGAAGTAAATTCTGTGTTTCGCACTACTAACCATAAAACATAACACTATAATATGTAAATTAATTGGATTAGTAAAACAATCAGACGATGGATGCGCAATGAAACTAGTAAATTATGTAATTTATACGGTTAAGGAATTTCATCCCATGAAACATGTCTCACAAAGAAGTTAGTGAAAAATAAAAAAAAAAAAGATAGGAAAAATAAAAACTAACTTCCATCACAAGACTGTTGGATTCCTTTGATGAAATTCTGTAGTTCAATAAAACCACAAGACTCATCATATTTACCACGAATGTATGAACAACGCGATATAAATTTATCAAACTTTGTTTCTTCACCAGAATGAAGCTGGAAACTATTTCGTTGGACAGTTACACGTGGCAAAATGAATGTCGGAAATTAAGACTGAGTCTCAACTAATCGATATCTTATAATGAAGGATGACCCAACAGTTTTATTATCCACACATTGTTTCACACACACAGCAAACACTACAACTTATTAGGCATCATGGAAAAAAATCATGCAACATTTGTATTAATCACATAAATGTTGATCTACCTTTAACAGAAAATTAATTTAAAGATAAAACGTCTCTGTAATGCTAGGAGTAACAAAAACTATGAAGAGCAAATGAAATTCATGACAAAGCAACCTTGCATCTTTCAATAAATTTTGCCTTCAGCGAAGCCATCGTCAAATTAGATCGTGCATAACCGATGATGGAAATATTATTTGGCAATAACGAATCACGGTAAAGCCACCAAAGCGTCGGATATATTTTCTTCCTGGCCAAATCACCCTAAAAACAAACGTATGAAAATTAATGTAAAGAGCGTAAGCATAACGAAAACTTATTGGCCCTTGAAATATTAAAGTGTAAAATAAGTCCCCTGACACCACAAGTTATATATCAAATGGTTGTCAACAACTTAACTGACTTGTATTCTGTATCAAATAGATCAGTTTAAACATAACTTACCGACGCACCGAAAACAACGAAAACATATGGATCGGTGTTGACACTACCCATAGATTCTTTCAGAAAATTAACGAGCTCCATGCTCAAAGGAGCAGATAAAGAATCAGCTCGATTTGGTATCGGAGAATGTTCGTGTGACATTTTGTGATCCTACAATAGAAGCTTTTACGACGAAGATTAGTTGAAAATGGAAAATGACGAATACTGTAATGATGCGAACATATATATATGGTCGAATATAAACACATATAGACGTTAAAGATAACGAAATAAATATATCCAAACAAATGTAGAGCTTTCTTCACTATGCTATGATAGGACATGCAAGTATCATTTTCACTACAGTATGCCGATAAGTGTTCGGGAATGAGAGAATAGTATCAGTTCATTTCACATATACAGTTCTTAACTCATGAATTTTGTTGTCCATTAACATTGAGTTCATACTTCTGCTACATTCCGCTTTGTTCGAAACATTATTTAAGTAAAAAAATAATGTGAACAACGTCTTGCCATAGGTTCCGATATATTGCAGTCGTTCATGAGGCACATGCACTGTACGCCAATATTTTCGGGATTCTGATCAAGAACTACAAGTCCGTCAGGTGGTTTTCAACCAGGAAAATAGGATGCAAATTTATCAGAAGCAGATTAAAGAAAAGAAAAAGGGAAAACACCGCTACGGTAGCCTTATTTGCTTGATTTACGAAAAAATTCAAGCCATGTTCCATTCCACAGCTTGTTGTTTGAATCACAAAGCTGAAAAACATAACAACCATAACATAACAAAGATAACATAAACATAACATAAACATAAAGATAACATAAACATAACATAACATAACCGGTGAAGTCTATCCTTCGTGAATGTTATAAGATATTAATCTAATTATGATGCCTAAACAAATAAAAATAACATCCAGTAAATAAAAGAAAGCTTTCAAAAACTGGCAGAATTAACGATGAGAATCATTAATTTTTGTAAATTCGGAAATAGAGACACGATATAGTGTGCAATAAACAAACCAGTTTTTTCGCCAGTGTGTTTCTCATTTTGTATGGCGCATCTTGAACGATACGGCAAAATTAAAATATATTCCCAAGTTTTTGTAAAATTGTAAATGTTTCACTGAATCCCGACAGGTACCGAGCAAGTATCTGACATATGCGGTCATCCTATCGCGTCGCTCTTATCGAAAGCAAATGACAGAAAATCGACGGAAAAAAAATTCCTTGGGATAATAGCTGGCTAAATAATCTCATCTGACAAGTACAATGAAGCAAAGAGAAACTGAACAACGAAGCGATAACAATTATTTAAACATAATGAATAAGAAATATATATTCGGTAAATCCACTACCACTTTCAGATGTCTGCTTTAAAACTATCAACGACAACAGAATTCTCGACCTTCCGACTGCCTTCCTTTTTCTCGACTCTTCATCCTTTACTCAGTGCTAGAATAACAATAACCATATCACTGGAAACTAACAAAAGTCAGTAATCAGTACGGTCCATACCATTTTTCGTCTCAAATTACGATCCATTTCTCAGCAGTGCTGAAGATGAGTTACGCTTCTGATAGTATATGTTTAAAGAATTTTTGAACCATCTCAGACAAACTTGCATGAACATTCTAATATAAAGAATGACAGTCGACGATTGCGGAAGCCAAAAGTAGCACACCCACAGTGCTGGTACAACCGATTAATTACCACCATTAAAAGAAAATGGCGTCGTTTAATCGATAATTTCAAACACTCAAATTTTATGAGTCGAATCAAGGTCAACATTCCATCATCGCAACACAAAATAGAAAGCAAATTATCATACATATTAATAATTAATAATAATATAATTGATAATAATAATAATAATAATAATAATAATAATAATAATAATAATAATAATAATAATAATAATAATAATAATAACAATAATAATAATAA